TGTGACAGGTGTGACGCCGTATTTCGAGGAGTGGCCGGGGGGTGGGTTTTGACCGCTAAAAATGACTGATTGCACAGAGAGGGGCAGTAGTCCTCGGATTATGACTTCGACGAAGTGCAAAAATTTCCGTTGCTAAGCAAGGATGTTCTAAAGTACGTTTTGTCCCATTTTATCGCTTTTCTGGCCACAGTTGTTAAGTGAATCTCTGCAGTTGTTAAGTTGGTAACCCGGTCGCTCAATGAATCTGGCTTCTCCCATTGACTTTTGCTTGTCATGAGGTCTCAAAAAGGGGATAACTCCGGGGCACTGCAACCGTCATAAATATGAGTCAGTTGGAAGGGCCCTCGGAGGTCTTCTAGTCTAACCCCATGCTCAAGCAGGAGACCCTAGGCCATTTCAGACAAATGGCTGTCCAATCTTATCTTAAAAACCTCCAGTGATGAATGTATCCACAACTTCTTGTGGCAAGCTGTTCCACTGGCTAATAGTCCTCACTGTTAGGAAATTTCTCCTTAATTCCAGGTTGCTTTCTCCTTGGCGAGTTTCCATCCGTTGCTTCTTGTCCTGCCTTCAGGGGCTTTGGAGAATAGGTGGACCCCCCCCCCCGGTTCACTTAACAACATGGCCGTTAAGTGAATCTGGCTTCCCCCCCTTACTTTGCTTGTCAGAAAGTCGCAAAAGGGGATCACACAATCCCTGGCGACGTTGTGACGGTCACAAATACAAGTCAGTGGCCAAACGCCTGAATTTTGATCACACAACTGTGGGGAATGCGGCAAAGGTCGTAACTGTGAAAAATGGCCGTAAGTCATTTTTTTTCAGTGCCATTGTAACTTTGAACAGTCGCTAAATGAATGGTTATAAATCAAGGAGTCTCCACGCTGCCCGTTCATCATGCATGATAAATGCAGGGCTCGCGCGGAGGCTCTGGGAGGGTGAAAAACAAGTCTCCCGGAAGTTCCAGAAGCTTCCGGAGCCCGGGGAAGGCCGTTTTTGCCCTCCCGGAGCCTCGAGGGAAGCCTCCGGAGCAGGGGTGGGTTCTGGCCAGTTCGCTTCTGCGCAGTGCAATAAAAATTGTTCTGCGCATGCACAGAAGCGGAAAACAAGATGGTGGCGCCTATGGCACTGCCCGGAAAACCAGTTCGGGGGCGTGGCAGGCCTGGGTCACTGCTGGTTCCACCGACCCATGCCGCCAAACCAGTTCAGTCAAACCGATCCGAACCGGGAGGGACACACCACTGCTCGGGAGTGTGGGGAGGGCAAAAACGCCCCTCCCCCCGTGATGCAGGCCACGCCCACCCAGCAACTGGGTAGAAAACCGGTGCTAAAATTTGATCAATCCCACCCCTGGACTCAGGGGTGTCTCTTATGCACCCGGATTGGCTCTGGATTCACTGAAGTTTTAGAAGGAAGAATCCAGAAGTAATCCTGACATTCTCGTCTCCAGAAAAAGTCGCGGCAACGCCACCTCCAGACGAGATGAAGGAGCAGGATGATGGC